TCTAATAAAAAAATGAATAAAATAATCAAATAAATAAATAAATAAATAACAATCTATTCACAGGAAAAAACTGCACTCAGATGGAGAACCCATGCGACTCGAAGCCGTGTGTGAACAACGCTACGTGCTACAGCTCTATCGGCTCCGTCAGCTACACATGCAACTGTACTGAGGGGTGGGAGGGGCAAAACTGCCAGGACAGAGTCAGCCCCTGTGTGTCTGACCCGTGCTTGAATGGGGGAACGTGTGTCAGCAGGTTGGTTTATTCTTGGAGTTATTTTAAAAACAAAGAGTTCCTCCGTCCGTTTCTAATGGTGGGTGGTTAGCAGGTGCCCCTTCTTTTCTGTCAAACCTTTATCATCCGTGTCTCTTCTACTTCTTTTATGTGTTTGTTACTCTCTGGTAACACCTCTAATCTTCGGCACTTATTTATCAAAACAGTCCGATGTTGACATGTTTACGGTACTAGAGAAGCAAAAACGCCCACGACGTCGTACAATAATGCACGCTTTTATTTTCCTGTTGGTCGTTTGGAGTTGCATGACTTATATAACGACGTGTGTAGGTTTGTATAGTCGTTGTCGTGCGACGGCTGTAAAAAAAAAAAACAACCCCCCCCCCCCCTCAGAACAAGAAATCTTCTTCTTCAGATGGCCATCGATATTGGTAATGACTTAATTAAGCAGCATGCATGATACGGCTTTGCCTGTGCCGTAAACGTGGAGGCAGTCGATCATATTTACATGTACTACGTCCCTCCCTTCAGATCTCGACTTCCTAAGATATGCTCCAACGTAGAGACAAACGCTTAATATAATCAAGACTTTTGGATTCCAAGAAAGTGTAAGGGGGTGCCATATCATTTTACTTCTGTCGTATTTATATTATTTTTGGTAAGGAATTTTTCGATTTTCAGTTTGGCTTAACGGTCTACTTCTACTACGACTTCAACCACTAAGGAATCTTTAACGTGCGCAATATGCACAAGGGACCTCCGAGATCTTTCGTTTTTATCCGAGAAGACTATGTTCTCGATCTTTTTCAAGAACATGGAAAGAGAGACAAAGAGATGTTAGACAAATCCAGTCTTTGAGAAATTGTGTACTCTTAGACCATAGGAACGTGACTTAAATTGAGGTATTTTTCTTCTTATAATCGAAATTGTTAATACCGAGTATCTAGAATGTCAGTTGATATAAAGGAAAGAGAAAGAAACAGACAACAGACAGGCAGAGAAACTGGCGAACCAGACAGTTAAATGTTAAACGATAGCCAAGACATACAAGCAGAAATATACATGATAGATAGACTAGTCAGTTGGTGTGCAAGTAGATTAGATAGATAGATAGATAGATAGATAGATAGATAGATAGATAGATAGATAGATAGATAGATAGATAGATAGATAGATAGATAAAACCATACGCTGTCTCATTTTCAGTGCTAACAGCACAGTCTTCAACTGCACTTGTCCGAGTGACTATGCTGGAGATATCTGCAACGACACTGCTTCTACCGGTAAGGTCTCATTATAAAGTGAAATGTATCACAATAATCATACTGGGCAGAGAACGAACACACTTGTGCACACAAGCACACACACACACACACACACACACACACACACACACACACACACACACACACACACACACACACACACACACACACACACACTCACACACACACACACACACACACAATCCCCTCTACACACAAACACACACACAAACCCACCCGCCCACGCCCCCCTCCCCCTCCTTTTTTCACAGAGAGAGAGCGAGAGAGAGAAAGAGAGAGAGAGAGAGAGAGAGAGGGGGGGGTGGGGATGGGGATGGGGTGAGATGGGGAGGGGAAGAAAGAAATCAGTCGATACAATGCCATGTAGCAAGAAAGGGGTGGGGTGGCTGATGTGTTAACGTTTAGTGTTCAGTAGGAAAGAAGAGGGGGTGGGGCTGAGGGATAATACATTGTACATAATATCCTATATATCGGTAGAATGTGATTTTTGGCAAGCCAGCAAAACCATCTGCACCGCAAACCTAATACATGTAGTTTATCTCCCCACCGATCTGAGTGCTTCTTTTGTCCTCAAATACTCGATGTGATCATGACGTCAGGACTTCTAATGTTATTGTTTCTATCTGTCCACAGGAGGAACTGGTGATACAGGTGGCGGCAAAACTGATAGACAGACTTCTTCAGTAAGTGGCCTAGGTTGTTTTTTTTGGTTATTGTTTTGGGGGGTTTGGGGGTTTTTTTTTCTTTTGTTAAAGTTAAAGCGGTCAGAAAACTTGACAGAAGAAGAAGGAGAAAAAGAAGAAGAAGAAGAAGAAGAAGAAGAAGAAGAAGAAGAAGAAGAAGAAGAAAAAGAAGAAGAAGAAGAAGAAAAAGAAGAAGAAGAAGAATGATATACAGGGTGATCCAAAAAAAACTTTACAACTTGTTTTGTAAATATCTTCCTCCATACTGAAATTTTGCGTTTCAGATTTGAACATAACGTTTGGAAGCCAAAAGGAATTTGTCTGATATGTATTTGAGTAAGTCCATTGAATGGTTTTGCTCTATATAGCGCATTAAAAAAACAACCCATTTTCAACCTTGTCGCCATTTTCATAGCATGACGCACCAGTTCGCATTAGGCCTACCACTAAAAGTTGCAACAATCGCGCCATATTGCAAGCTATAGCAGTCTAACAAGTCAACAGATGTCTGATGATATTATTTGTCCCAAATTTTGTTTGCCCGCTCAGAACATGGCTACGTTTAGTAAAGAGCAGAGAGCTTTTTGTATTGAACATTACCTCTCCACAAACTCACCATCTCTGACATTTCGTAAGTTCTGCGCACGGCATGGAGAGAATGCTTAGGTGCACTCAAGACCTTTGGCGTCATGAGTAGAGAAGTTCCGTCAGTTTGGATCTATAGCGAATCAGAACTAAAAAGTTATTTTAAAAATGACCACTTCAGGTCGAACACGCACCATGCGCAACCCTTTAATTAAACGTCACCAGAGTGCAGATTTCAGTAGCCGAGTCCCACGCAACGTCTGTGCGTGGACGGTCTGCAGCTAGGACTTCCCTACACATCAACAGTCTGCATTCTCATGGCAGATCTTAACCTACGACTATACCATGTTCATCTTCGCTAGGCCGAGATGACATGTATCAGAGCATGGCAATGTGTTCCTGATTCCTCGATTGTCTTGTAAAGAGGGATAATTTCCTCGATGACAGTTGGTTTAGTGCAAAGCCCATTTTCACCCTTCTGGACGTGTTAACTCCAAAAATGCGGTCTATTGGGCACCCAACTCTAAGTCTATTGTCTCTAGAAGCCACTTCTTATTGAACATGTACACTGTATGTGGCTTCAAAAACTCATGGTTTAGCAGGACCTTGTGTTAGGGCGCCTCTGAACATTTCGAACGACGCGTTAAAAATGTGTCGAGTCCAAAGGAGGGAATGTGGAGCACTGCTTCTAGGAATTTCTGAATGAAATCATTAGGTTTTTAAAACTCTGTAAAAGAAATTAAATATTGTTTAAATGTCACAGGGGTGGAAAATTAATGTCAAAGAGAAAATAAAGAAAAAGGTCAACTAATCTTTTCACGACTTCCTTTACAAGATTTTTAAACATTCGTGAACTTTGCGTTTTTGTGTGCTTTTTTCTTTTAGCCGTTTCCGTTTTCAAACATGTTTTATATCAAACAAATTTCTTTTGAATGAATTATGTCTGTTCCAAATTACAGTATTCTAGAGGAAATTTTGCGGAGATATTTTTTTAAAAGTTGTAAAGTTATTTTTTGGATCACCCTGTATATGATGCAAAGATGTCAATCATATGTATGTGTACACCTTAAGGCCTCATGCCTCAGAATTCACGGTGGAAATTTAGTTTACTGCTTTCAATAGCGTTAAATTTTGCTGATGTCCCATTATTGATCTGGAGCGTGGTCAAATTTAGAGTTAGGCCAATAGAAAAAAGAAACAAAAGTGTCAAAGGTTACTTCCAGTTTTCTCATTTTTAAAGGTACTTTTGGCCTTGACATTAATTTTGGTCACTAAAGTCAATGAAGAGGCATAATAATGCAATGACCACATGCGAGAAAATTGAAAAAAAAAGTTGAGACCTCTTTTTCTAGCATGCGTGGGCTTTAAAAAAAACGTTGTTTTTTTTCGCTCATAGGACACTGAAGTCACGAAGGAGAGGAAAGAAAGAAAGCCTAAGGAACAAATAGTGTCCCACGGGTATATATCCAGACTTTCGTAATCAGTCAAGTGTATTATTCCGCCAATCGATAGTCATGCATCCAGCACGTCCAGCTCGCTCGCTGTGGGTCAAATACATGTAGTTGATGATTAATTTGTTCTATTATTGGGCTCTCGTTGGCCCTGGAATTGGCTCCCCTTAGTCCGCAGAATCGTTTCTGTGAAACTCTGGTGCCATGCTCACTAACCTGGGCGATATGTATCACCCAGAAGTGGGCATTTTGATAACTTTGGTTAGCGGTGGAGATCACCCATGTTGTGACTGGTGTTATTAAGTTTCATGCCTCGCTTGGAAATTACATGTAGGTGGGCTGTACAAAATAAATGTTAGCCTCATAAAGTTGGCAAAAGTGAGCGCTGGCTGTAAAAAGCACTGATCTAGTGATAGATGTTAGAGGGCCTATGTGCATTCACTCCAGCTGGGGAATGAACTGCCAAATTATTACATTCTCCTCGACTCTGCATCCGGTGTTTAACAAAAAGGGAAGCCAAAAAAAAAATTCACCCTCTCTTCCACTTTCTTTATCTTTCCACAGGAGGAAGATTTCCCACTCTGGATCATCGTCCTCATCTGCATCCTTCTCCTTGTTATCCTCGTCGTTGTCATTGTTTGCGTTGCAATCATGCGGAGAAGGAAAAGGTAATTTCGTTTTTAAAAAGTTAGAAAATGTGTGTGTGAGCTACGAGGTGCCTGACAGAACTGAAAATGAGTGTGTGCTGACTGCTTAGTGT